TAAAATGCACAATAGCATATGTGTATATACACATTAAAATTTTAAAAGATTTACAAAATTTATCAACACGCTGCATATTGCATGGTATTGATCATCATTTGTTTCGGTAGAACTGACCGACAAAAATGTTAAAACTGAAATAATTGAGCCGAACATTTGAAAAAAAAAATTTGAGCCGACCGACTAATGTAACGCCCCAATCAGTTAATAAATAAAACCAATTCACTTGCTCGACTTTAAAGTGAATTCGGTAATGTTCGAACCCTAGAGTTGTTCGACTAAGTATTTTCAAGAGTTATTATGTGAATTATATTCTTTTATGTGATATTATGTGATAAATTGCTTGATTGTTACCCATATATGTTAGTATGATCAAGTTATATCATTCGGTTGTGCCGATATTTCCGAGATCGCGTATCGAGCCCTAGTGTCGAGCCAAGGTTCACCCTAACTTGTTCCTCATTCAAACATGGTGCCTTATGTGTGCTTAAGAGGGGGAGTTAAGTGTTTTCTATACCTAAATAAAACCTAATAAGGCTTAGCAAAGTCTAAAGCTCCATTAACAATATTCTATGCCTTAATCTATCATGAGCATGAATTTTATATTGAATGGTGTAAGTGCTTTGTTCCCCCTTGTCTCCATGTGTTTTGACCAGAGCTTAATCATCCCTTTTAGTGCTAAAAAAAAGAGATGCTCATTCCACTAACCAACACAATGCCCCACCATCATGCGCCAAGCCAACCTTGTGCATAGGAGTTAGGATTTTTTTTCTAGTTTTTGTCTTCCTATTCCTAGCATATTTTGTAACGCCCTAAGACCATAATATAGGCCTCTTTTCAGGAACCTTAAGACCTCACTTGATGCCACAAACACTTAAAAAAACTCTAGCTGAAGTCCTCCATCCATAGCCAAAGCCGAGAGCAAACTAGAGTACCCCGACAGAGAGAGCTTGAGTGAGACCGAGTGTTCTTGAGTTGTAGTAGATTAAATTCGAAAACTCCAGCAAGTTAAGCATCCTCCATCATCCTATTTCATCCTAGAAGAGTTTAGAATCACCAAAGTTTGAGAAGGAAGCAAAAAAGCTGAAGCAACGCGAGTTCAAGCAACAAGCAAGACAACCGAGCATACCCGACTTCTTTTGCATTTTCTTGAAGATTAAAAGGTACGTGTGCTAAAATAATTTTATATATAATGTTATATATTAGATGAGGAGTTGATTGATATATATTTATGATATATATGTTCAACTTTTAAGTGTATATAAGCATGCAAAATGTTAATGTTGTCCCAGCTCGCATGAGTGTTTCTTATGTGATGTTTGCTTGCGTTTTTTGACCATGCTATGAAAAACATGGGAAAGTATGCTTTATATGAATATTTTTTGTGTAAACTAGTAGTACATAGGAACAAGAATAATGTCTTTTAGATTAGTATAGCTTAAGTTATAGATATTTGAAGTTAAGTGTGCAAACCGCATTTTATATGCCTAGTTTCAGCAACAAATTAAATTGCGAATATCTCAGTCCTCAGTCATGATATGAACATGAAATTTATATGTCATGTTTATATATGAGTTAGGAGCTTACATTTCAAATTTCATGATTTTATCTTAAGAAATCAGTGAGTTATATATTTTAGACCGTATGCATGTCATGTTGAATTTTATGGTCATAGAAATCCCTCAATACATGCATATTTGATGTGAAATTTTAATGAGAATTTATTGTATGAGGTATGAGTAATGTAACCAAGTTTCAGCTTCAGAAGCTAAGTGTGGGATTTTATAAAATTTTGAGAAGTTAGAAAGGTCAAATGCATGTTTATATGCAAATTTGATGAACTTGTTTGACCAACCAAACGAGCTTAGAATTAGCTGAAATTGTAACTGAAAATGCATGTCTAAGTGAAGTTGCTAAATTTCAGTATTTTTGGATATTTATATGATTTTATAGAAAAATCCTAAGGTTTAAGGAGTATATTAGCTCATTTTAAATTGTTTAACTAAAAGTAGTTGAACATGAGTGTATATACAACCCTAAACAAGTATTTAAGTATAAGAGTTGGCCAATTTGAGCCAGATAAAGATAGAGCTTCTATCAAATTTATCCGGAAGCTCGATATGGACTATCAGTCCAGTCAAGGCCAGAAGCCAGTTCTAGTATTATTTGTTTATTTACTTGTGGTTGTTTTATATGTGTAAATTAATTGTATATATGTTTTATATGTTTTTGCCTGTCTTGCTTGTCTATCTGCCACCATAAGTGTTAAAGTTTCAGAATCAGATGTATCAGTCAAGAAAATTACTTAGATATATATATGTATATATATATATATATATATTTGCTTGTATATGTTTGGTAGCTTGTGGAGAGTCGAGCCTCCAACAACTACACCAGTTTTTCAGCACTTGCACAGTCTTTCAGCATAATCAGGTGGGGGCCCTGCACTGGGTATTACATCGCGTATAATCATATATACTGCATGAGATACGTATGTAGGTAATCTTACCCGGCGGTTGAGTTATCCCGTTCGTGGTCCAGTTTATGATGACTCGGTCTTGTATGGAAGGTTTTCCCATCCTCAGTCACTCACCCGGTTTTGAATGGTAGTAATTTCCATCCTGGGTTTCTGTGGGAGGCGACCCGCAGAATGTGATCACATGATAATTCGGCCAGTTTTCGGATGTTGCACCAGTACAGTACAATTTTATTTATGTATATGCTGATTTCATGATATTTGATTACATGTGCGGTATATTCAGTGTTGGTTCCTGCTGAGCATGGTGATTTAGTGCTCACGCCCCCACTATTTATCTTTTCTAGGTGATGGAGTACAACTCGGTGCGTGAGCCGAGAAGTGGTGTGGTGGTGTCCGACAACAGCTGGACATTCATTATGTTTATGTTTATGTTGGCATGTAATAAGATAATTTCGTACTGTACTATACTTTATTTACGCTTCCGTACTGCCAACTCAGAACCAGTATGCATGCATGTTTAATTCCCTTTATCCATATTCCCCAGCTGGATTATATATGTCGATTGGGTTACATGCATAAGTAAATGAAAGAGCAATAAGTCAAGTCAGTAAGTAAGTAGCACCGCAAATAAGTTAAGTTCAAATGTTTTTTGAAACCAGTCCCAGTATTTTTGAAAACAACCGAAAAAATTTTACCTAGTTTTTCGTGAGTCCAGATAGATCAGGCGGGGTGTTACAGTTTGGTATCAGAGCGCAGTTGGCGTTTCTGTAGACCAAAAGTCTAGTCAAGTTACCACACCACGCTTACGCCCGCGCTGACTCCGAGGTAAGTCACCTAAACCAGTCTTTATTTTTGCAAGTGCTTTATCAGTACAATATGAGAATTTCAAGGGCCTAGAAAACTATCCTCCTATGAGAATGAGAATTCTAGATAAGAACTCTAAAACGAACTAAGTCCAAGAACTCTAGTCAAAGTCAGAACTCCTATTTGATTCAGAACTCTAGACAAGTTAAGTTGTATTTTTTTTCTCAATGACTCGCCAAGAAATGTGCAAAGTATCAAGTTATTAATATTTCATCTCTTCTGCCAAACTCTTTCATGGGATAAACCTGTCAACTGGCCATCCAGATGGCAAATCGCCGAAATGCTCCAATCCAGCCAGTCACAGCCCCTCTAGTGGCTCCTGAGCCAGACCAGGGGCAGCGAGTCGCACAGTTTCGTGGGTTTCACCCAGCGACTTTTAATGGACAAGGAGATCCTAGACAAGTTGAGAAATGGCTACGCAACCTTGATCTTATCTTCGAGGTCATGGGTTGCCCAGAGCGAATTAAGATCATGTGCGCCCAATTTCAGTTGACGGGGGATGCCAGACTTTGGTGGACAGCATGCTGGGCCATGAGGCCTGGGGAGAAGGATAATGTCACATGGGAGCAGTTGAAGGAGATAGTCCGGGAGAAGTACTACCCATTTCACTACAGAGATAGGATGGAGAGATTGTTTTTGAGTTTGGAGCAGGATGATCGGACCGTGGATGAATATGATCGCGAGTTTACTCGCCTCGGTTTCTTCATGCCACATCTTATTGACACGGAGGAGACGAGGACGAGGCGCTTTCGGGAAGGTCTACGTGGAGATATCCGTCATACCTTGACTGCTATGGGTGCCATGCCATATGCTGAAACAGTTTCTCGGGCCCAGTAGATAGCAGAGAGCTTGATGGTGGAGGCTAGTCGAGTTTGTGCCCCAGTCAGGCAGCTAGTCCAGCCACTGGCTCCACCACAGCTAGCGGCACCTCAGCAGGCGCAACCTTAGTAGGCACATAGACCCAACAAGAGAAGGTGGAAGGGTCGTAATGATCGGAGGAACATACAGAGGGTTCCAGGACCAGCACCAGCTCCAGCCCCAGCTCAGGATGTGCAGCCTATCCGTCAGGTTGCACCACCTGCGGCCGTAACCATAGCGGGGAGTGCTTTGCTGGTCAGAACGTGTGTTATCACTGTCGTAGACCTGGCCACGGGATTCGTGATTGCCCAGACCGCCATCAGAACCAGCAGGGTCAGCGTCAGCAGGCCCAGAACCAGCGCAGAGGTGGACCTGCACATATCTTTACCCTTAACCAGGCAGAGGTAGCCGAGCAGCCAGGTACAATGTCAGGCATGATGTCTTTATTTAACATACTAGTCTTTGCCTTGTTCGACACAGGAGCGACCCATTCGTTCATTTCCACAAAGTGTAATGAAGCTCTAAATGTCCAGAGAGTGAGTACTGTCGACCCCCTTGAGATCAGCCTAGCCTCAGGGAGGAAGATTGTGACGTACTATTTGGCCAAGAACCTTAGCCTTGATATTGGTGGCAGAACTCTAGCAGCTGATGTGTTTGTGATCGAGATGAAGGACTTTGACCTTATTCTCGGAATGGATTGGCTGGAGAAGTATCAGGCAGACATCAGGTGCCGAGAGAGAGAGGTGACACTTTAGTTGACCAGGGGAGAGCGTATCACGTTCTTCGAATCGAAAGCTAGAACCTTATCACTTGTTATCTCAATGGCGAAGGTGGCCAAGTATTTGAAGAAAGAGGACTGCCAAGGCAATCTAGTGAGCATAGTTGGGGAGACATCGAAGGAGCTGACACCCAGAGACATTCCAATTGTGCGCGACATCGTGGAAGTTTTTCCAGATCAATTGCCAGGAGCACCACCTAACCGCCAAGTGGAATTCACAATCGATTTAGTGCCCGGGGCAGCACCAATATCCAAAGCACCATATAGAATGGCCCCAAAAGAGCTTCAGGAGCTGAAATCTCAAATTCAAGAGCTACTCAAGCTTGGTTTCATTCGACCGAGTGTTTTACTCTGGGGAGCACCTGTCCTCTTCGTAAAGAAGAAGGATGGGACAATGCGCATTTGCATCGACTACCGGGATTTAAACCGGTTGACGGTGAAGAACAAATATCAACTTCCCAGGATAGAATATCTTTTCGATCAGTTGAGGGGCGCTAGAGTGTTTTCCAAGATTGATCTCTGTTTGTCCCATTTTTGTGTCTTTATTTTGGGTTTATTTTCTCTTTATTTTCCCCACGTATAGGATTTTCGTAGTTTATTTGGTCCAATTCTGTGTTTTTTTCGTTTTTCTCTTTAGTTCATTTTGTGCGTCTTTTTGCTGTGTTTTGCTTCGTGTTTTCTTCGTGTTTGTGTTTTCAGGAGTTAGGTTGTGTTGATCGAGGACGGGACTACTTGAGCTGAGACCGGGATATCAAGAAGACCCATTAGTGTGCTCAGAATACTGAAGGAAGGACCGAAAAAACTGACAGAAAAGCTGCTCAGAACTTCTCGCGACTCGCGAGTCAGTGTCGCGACTCGCGAGATGGTCGCGACTCGCGAGAAGGACACGACTCGCGAGTCTAACAGAGCTGAGAGGACGAATTCCGCGAGACGAGTCGCGACTCGCGAGTCAACGTCGCGACTCGCGAGACAAGTCGCGACTCGCGAGTCAGATCGCGAGTTTCCCCAGAATTTACATATTTTTTGAAGACGCGCGACTCGTGAGATGTCGCGACTCGCGACTCGGCAAAACTGGAAGTCGCGACTCGCGACCTGATCGGCGCGATTTTCGAGGACAGGATTTTAAGTTCAGAATTTCGACCTAGACATGAGGATTTATATTCCAGACTTTGTTTTTACACTTTTTCTCTCTAAAAACTCATTCCTTTTCATACTTTTGCTATTTTGGATTGATTTTGGAGATCAAAACTCTATTTTTCTTGCTTTGGATTGGATGTTTTTGGATTCAACATTGAACTATCAGCATTAATCGTAAGTTTTTCCTTCTCAATTGTGTGATTGATGATGATGGCTTGGGTTTTTATGAGTTTTTATGTTGAATTCCATATGAGTAGCTAAATCCATACGCTTGGGATAGGGGATGATTGATTAGGTTCAATTATGATTACTTGTTCTTAATTGTTCATATCTATTCAAGTTGTTCTTATTATAGGGTTAGTAGATTGATCACCATTCTAACCTAGTTAATCGACGTTTAGAACCGAGAGGGGAGATGTCGGTCGATTTAGGCTCGTATAGAGTAGACTTGTTCGGAAACGTATTGTCTATGTGTTGCTTGTTTGAATGAGTTTATCGTTTATGTATGTGCTCTTGTTACGAAGAGTTATTGAGCATAGCCCTCTAGACGTTAGGCTTGTTAAATCTCGTAACCGAACAAATAATCGTTCAACATAGTTTGAAACTTGATGAGATTTCCCAACCCCCAGAACTTATTCCTTTTCTTTAGAGATTTAATTGTTCTTTCTTTAAAATACTTTTCTAGTTCTAGTTTGTTTTAGCTAATTCACCAAATTAATCATGATTAGAGTGTTTAGGACTTATTTTCTTTTCGTGTGTGATTAATACCAAAGCTAGATTCCGAACCGTCTTCCTCAAGAGATCGACCCGGGGAACGAATCTTTTGATTCGGTACTCGGTAAAAATAAAAATAATTTTCTACAACAAATTTGGCGCCGTTGCCGGGGAAGGTTTAGGACTTTAATTGTGCGCCTATTCGTTTTTTTTTAGTGTTTCTCTTCGTTTTAGTTGGCTAGTTTATCAGTTCTTGATTTTTGGTTCTTTGTTTTTTCTTAGGTTTTTCTTCTTTGTTTATCTGGTGCTCGTGACGGTTTCTTGTCTTGTGTATGCGTACCAGGAGTGGACGCAAATTGTTATCTCCGATCAACAAGTCTGTCAACGAGAGCCTGAGGGAGCTGCTAGAAGAGCTTACCTTAGAATCGCACGGGGAAGACGAACATTCTCCAAAATCATCCGAAAGCAGCAACCTCAATATGGGAGAACGACAACAACTAGCCCCCCGTAACACCCTCCGAACCTTGGCCCAGCCGGTTATCGGGCCAGTCACTTCATGCATTCATTTGCCGGAAGCCGCACGAAACTACGAGCTCAATGATTCACTACAACCAGCTGCCGGCATTCCACGGGCTTCCAACCGAGGACCCACTCAACTTCATTAGGGAATTTTACAATGTCCTCAACACTTTCCCTCTCAATGGCCTTAATGACGAGCAGTTGAAGCTGAGGTGCTTTCCAGAGACTCTGAAAGACCGGGCCAAGGCCTGGTTCATGACACTTGCACCTGGCTCTCTCACTACATGGACCGAGGTGTACTCAAAGTTCATTGGGAGGTATTACTCCCATCAGAAGACTCAGGAGCTCCGGTCACAGATCGTCTCATTTGCTCAATTACCAAATGAGTCTCTTCATGAAGCTTGGGAGCGGTTCAAGGATCTCCAACGGCATTGTCCCCATCACAACCTCTCTCTGGGGCTTCTCATGAACGGCTTCTATGATTCCCTCCACCAGAATTTGCAGTATATGGTCGACAACGCGGCGGGAGGTGATATCGGAGCAAGGACAACCGAGGAGATGTTTGAGATCTTTGAGACGATGAGTACGAACTCGTCGCAAAAGAGCACTCGAGGCAAGAGGGCAATAGTCAGCGAGGTCAGTACAAGCAATGATATGGTGGCCCAACATCTAGCTGAGCTTACTGAACAGATGAGGTTGCTTACCGCACGAGGGTCTCAGCCGGTTAATACATTTGTTGTTGATACATGTGGGGCGTGTGGAGTCTTAGGGCATAGGTCCGAAGTATGCCCCTCATCTTTCGAGCAGGACCCCAGTGAGCAGTATGCGGATGCCAGTCCTTTACAAGGATACCAGAACCGGCCAGGCAATGACCTATATTCGAACACGTTCAACCCCGGATGGCGGAACCACCTACACTTCTCGTGGTCAAACAACTCAAATACCCTTCAGCCACCTCGTCCGAACTTTATGCAGCAACAACCTCGACCCAACTTTGTGCCCCGGCCGAACTTCCAGCCACAGCAGCCACAACAGCAGCAGAGGGGACCGGAAGGGGGGTCAAGCTCGAACCTCCAAGACGACGTTGCCAAAATCCTTCATCTTATGGCCAACCGTGAGCAGAGGGATGTCAATCAGGATGCCTCCATCAAGCGCATAAAGACACAGTTAGGCCAACTGGCCGCCAGGGTTGGGACCATCGAGACCAAGATGAACATGGGGAAGTTGCCAAGTCAGCCCGAGCAAGCTAAAGCTATCACTGTGCTCAGAAGCGGGAAGGAAGTGGACAACAAAGTGCAGATGCCCGAGCTCGAGGATCAGGAGACTCCAGAAAAGATCAAGGAATCAGAGTCCGGGGAGGCGACAGACGAGCCGGTGCTGCATAAGTCGCCGAATCCGTACAAGCCGCGCATTCCCTTTCCAGACCGACTTAGGAACGAGAAGCAAGAGAAACAGTTCCGAGATCTTTTCAGCATGCTCTCCAAGGTGAATGTCAACTTACCGCTTCTGGATGTGATTAAGAATATGCCATCATATGGTAAGTTCTTTAATGACTTGGTGACCAAGAAGAGGAAGTTCGAAGATGGAGAGAAGGTGGTTGTGTATGAGGCGGCAAGTGCAATGCAACACGATCTGCCCAAGAAGGAACGTGACTCCGGTGGTTTCATTATCCAGATAGCCTTGGGGAACGGGAAGGTAGCTTCAGGGATGGTTGACCTCAGAGCCGAAATCAATCTCATGCCCTTCTCGATTTTTCAAAGGCTCGGCCTTGGGGATTTGAGGCCAACTCGCATGTGCCTTCAGTTAGCAGACCGTTCCATCAGGTATCCCAAGGGAGTAGTCGAGGATGTTTTCGTGAAGGTGGGAAAGCTTATTATTCCAGTGGACTTCATTGTGCTCGACGTCGGGGATGTGCACGAGAACGGGAAGGATCACACCATCCTTCTCGGGAGACCTTTCATGGCGACAATTAATACCCTCATCGATGTGAAGAATGGTACTTTGAATATGACTGTTCTAGGGGAGTCGGTGTCTATTTCCGTCCAATGGGCCATGTCTTCATCTTCTGTCAATTTTATTGAAGAATGTGCTTTTATTGATATTGCTGACCCTTTTGTGGATGAGATGGTATTTCAAGAGTTCGAAGACGTCTTGTTGCCGGCTTTTGAGGAAGAGGAAGAGCCTATAGTGGAGCTTTTTGAAGTAGGAGAAGGTCATACCCGAGCTGAGACCACACTCGAGCTTAAGGAGCTGCCCAAGCACTTTAAGTATGTTTTCTTGGATGATGCCCATCAGAAGCCGGTGATCATTTTTGCTGAGCTCGACAGTGAGGAAGAGGAGGAGCTGATAGTTATGCTCAGAAAGAACCAGAAGGAGATCGGGTGGAGTCTGGGAGACATCAAGGGGATTAGTCCCTCGACATGTATGCACCGTATTATCTTGGAGGAGGAGCCAAACCGTTTCGGGATAGCCAGCGAAGGCTAAACCCGAATATGATGGAGGTAGTAAAGAAAGAGGTGCTGAAGTTATTTTCTGAGGGATTGATCTACCCGGTGGCTAGTACAAGTGGGTGAGCCCTATTCATGTGGTGCCGAAGAAGGGAGGCATAACCATGATCGAGAACGACATTAAGGAGTTGGTCCCCACCCGCATCACTACTGGGTAGCGCATGTGCATTGACTATAGCCGACTAAACGCTGTGACCAAGAAGGACCACTTCCCGTTGCCGTTCATTGACCAGATACTTGACCGTCTATCGGGCCATCAGTTCTACTGCTTTTTGGATGGGCTTTCCGGCTACTACCAAGTGGCCATAGCACCCGAGGATCAGCCCAAGACGACATTCACGTGCCCCTTTGGAACTTTCGCGTTCAGACGGATGCCCTTTGGCCTTTGCAATGCACCGGGGACATTTCAGAGGTGCATGTTCTCCATTTTCTCGGATATGCTTGAAGACTGCTTGCAGGTATTTATGGATGACTTCTCTATTTTTGGTGATTCATTTTCTCATTGTCTTTGTAATTTATTTCGTGTCCTTGAGCGTTGCATTGAGTCTAATTTGACCTTGAGTTGGGAAAAGAGTCATTTCATGGTGAGAAGTGGAGTTGTCTTAGGTCATGTTGTATCTAGCAAGGGAATTGAGGTAGATAAAGCTAAGGTAGATGTTATTGAAAAGCTTCCTCCTCCTATGAATGTTAAGGGGATTAGGAGTTTCTTGGGGCATGCGGGGTTCTATGGCGTTTCATTAAGGATTTTTCTAAAATTAGTCAGCCTCTATGTCATTTGCTTGCTCAAGACGTGCCATATGTTTTTGATGATGCTTGTTTATGTGCTTTTAATGAATTAAAGAGCAAGCTTGTGAGCGCCCCTATTGTAATTGCCCCTGACTAGTCTATTCCTTTTGAAATCATGTGTGATGCATCTAATCTTGCAGTGGGCGCCGTTTTGGGTCAGCGAGTTGATAAGTTGCTTCGAGTGATTTATTATGCTAGCTTGACTCTTAATGGAGCCCAGCAGAATTACACTACCACCGAGAAGGAACTTCTAGCCGTGGTCTTTTCTCTTGAAAACTTTCGATCATATATTTTGGGTTCTAAGGTGATTATTCACTCTGACCATGCGGCTTTGAAGTACCTTTTGAGCAAAACTCATTCTAAACCACGGCTCATCCGATGGATCTTGTTACTGCAAGAATTTGATGTTGATATTAAAGATAGGAAAGGTTCTGAAAACGTAGTTTCTGATCACTTGTCACGCATTTTACCATCTGAGTCATCATCTTCATTGATTGTGCATCATTCTATTAATGATAATTTCCTTTATGAACATGTGCATGAAGTGTCGAAAAGTGTTTGGTATGCTGAAATTGTGAACTATTTGTGTTGTGGTAAACTGCGGCCTAATCTCTCTTCCCAAGAGAGAAAGCGTTTTATTGCTGTGTGTAGGGACTACTTCTGGGACGAGCCATTTCTCTTCAAGATGGGGAAGGATGAGGTGCTTCGAAGATGTGTTCCAGAAGAGGAGCAAGTTGATGTCCTCACATTCTGTCATGCGTTCCATTGTGGAGGCCATTTTGGCGGTCAGAAAACCGCCTTTAAGGTATTACAGTCAGGTTTGTTTTGGCCATCCCTTTTTAAAGACGCCCATACTTTTTGCCGTTCTTGTGATCAATGCCAAAGAACTGGGAATATAGGTCGCCGAAATGAAATGCCCTTGACTACCAACCTTCAAGTTGAAATTTTTGATGTTTGGGGCATCGATTTTATGGGACCGTTTCCTAAGTCTAATGGCTACGAGTACATTTTGCTTGCTGTAGATGACGTGTCTAAGTGGGTTGAGGCCATCCCCACGAAGACATGTGATGCTAATATTGTTATCAAGTTTGTGCAAGGGAATATATTGAGTATGTTTGGGTTCCCCAGAACAATTGTGAGTGATGGAGGGCAGCACTTTTGCAACAAGCTTTTTGAGAAGCTGATGAAAAAGTACTGCATTTCACACAAAGTGGCTACTCCATATCACCCACAAACTTCGGGCCAGGCTGAGACCAGTAATAAGCAGATCAAGACCATCTTGGAGAAGACGGTCAACTCATCAAGGAAGGATTGGTCGAGCCGGCTCGACGATGCATTGTGGGCCCAACGTACGGCGTACAAAGGCGTTTTGGGCATGAGTCCATTCAGATTAGTCTATGGGAAGGCTTGTCATTTACCAGTTGAGATTGAGCATAAGGCCTTGTGGGCGATTAAAAAGGCGAATTTTGATCTAGACGCGGCCAAAAAAGCGCGATTGTTGCAGCTCTCGGAGTTGGAAGAAAGAAGGAATGAAGCTTATGAAAATGCCAAGATCTACAAGGATAAGGTGAAGAGACTCCATGATGCCCACATTGTTCGAAAAGAGCTGGTGCCGGGCATGAAAGTCCTTCTCTACAATTCCTGACTTCGTCTATTCCCTGGAAAACTCAAGTCCCGGTGGACTGGCCCGTACATTATTGATGAGGTGCTGTCTTTTGGAGCTGTCAGACTCAGAAATCCGACCAATGATGAGTTGTTCATTGTTAACGGGCAACTAGTGAAGCCCTATTTCGAGAGAGAGTTCGGGAAGTATCATGTCGAGACCATTGGTCTCAGCGAACCAGCGTATCCTTGATCTTGCTGAGCGTTATTTGTACTTTGTGTATATATATATATATCTATTTATTTGTTTCTTTCTTTTTCTTTAAAAAAATTAAAAGAACAACAAGTCTCGCGACTCGCGAAAGATCTCGCGAGTCGCGACTTATAGGGCCAACCTCTCTGTTTGTCTCGCGACTCGCGAGCAAAAAGTCGCGACTCGCGACTTGCGAGGTCGCGACTCGCGAGATTCTCGCGAGTCGCGAGTTGCCTCTCATTTATTTAGCCATCGGTCTCTTTCCGAGTCGCGAGTCGCGAAAGTTTTGCGATTCGCGACGTATCTCGCGAGAATATGTCGCGACTCGCGACTTGATTCCGCGAGTTACCTGCTTTCATTAAAAAAAATAAAAAATAAAAATATATGTGTGTCGCGACATCTGGTCGCGACTCGCAACTAAATGTCGCGACATACCTGGAGCCTAATTAAAATGTCGGGTTGTCTCTTCTTTTGCAGGTACTCTCATTCTCGTTCGCGACACACACAAGATTTCTCTCCTTCACGACCAAATTTCCACCTTCACAAACTTCTGGCCCCGTCGCTCCGACCTTTCTCTGACCGGCGTCTCCCGTTTTACGACCGGCGACCTAGCTTACCCCGGCGTTTGGTCCACCTCCGTCACTTCGCTCGCTCAATCCCGCGACCCTACCCTAGGTCCGATTTTGCGGCGCTCATTCTCTCAGCGGTTGAATCTCCGACCAGCAAACGTCTCCGAACTCCAGTCATTCCTCGGCTTTGATCACCGTCGACTTGTCTTCCCCGGCCAGCTACAACAAATTTACATAAGGGCTTGGTGACTTCATCTTCTTTCAGTTCTATCTTCACGGGTTGGAGAGTTCATAGCCTCGTACTCATAATTATTGCTATTCTCTGAGAATTGGGCTTGCTCGAGTTGTTTGTTGCACACTTTGATTGAAGAAAAGGGGTTCCACCATTGTTGTCTTCTTCAAGCTCCTTCTTTGAATTTGCGCATACAAGGTGTTCGATAGTTTGCCTAAGTGAGTTTCTTAGTCACGATGGTTACCAAACGCCCCAAACGGAAGTCTACACAAGGAGAGTCGTCCTCCCGAACTGAGCCGGTCGATCTACGGGCACAGTACAACGCCCCCTTCACCATCCTCGACGAACGTGAGGGGGAAATTTACTCCCGGCTCGCCAAGAAGGAGGTCCTCAAGTCGAAGACGCTCGACTTCTCATTACTTTCGGATTTGGGCATTTTGGAGACGGTTGAGCAGTACTTGACCACGCTTCACTTGCGGAGATATGCCGATGTTTTCCATCCGACTTACCGGAACCTGACACTCGAGTTCTTTAGTACTCTTGAGTTCCATCCGAATGCTTCTGGATCCGATTCTTTGACTTTTTGGCTGCTTGGGACCCGCCGGGTCGTTGGCAATAAAGCCCTTGAGACAGTTTTGGGGCTTACGGATGACGGCTTCTCGACAGTATCCGGCTAGTTTCTGGCCCGAGCTCTCTCCCGACACTGTGTGGGACCCACAGGGCATGCCTAACAGCCTCATCGAGCACGGTGCGATTGCCATTATGCACAAATTCTTGTGCTATGGTCTCCTTGGAAAGAAGGAGGCCAATAAGGTCACGCAGGTTGACCTTTCCGTGCTCTGGGCCATGATCGGGCGTACGGATCTGAATGTGCACGAGTATCTGAAGGAGGAATTTCGGGCAGTGCTTCAGAATAAGCGGGCAGCTGCCTGTTTCGGTCACGTGGTGACAGCTTTCGCTCTCCATCTCGGTGTCGATCCGACGGCTTCGGGCAGTCCTCTTGTTCCGATGCGGCGCATTGACGTATTTGAGTTGCACCATTCGGGTTTGATCTTCGACCGACACACATTCGTGGTCTATGGGCAGTGCCAGGCCTACTCCATGTACATGAGAAAGTTGGAGGCTGCTGCTTCCGCTGCACAGACGGGCTCATCTCGTCCTCAGCAGGCGACCGACGATACTCATCAGGCGGATGAGATGGACCATGATCAGACTGTTCTCGACGATAGCCGTCTTCTTCTGCCTCCGTCTGGTTGGCAGCCTGCTACTGAGCCTGTTCCCGGTCCCAATCGTCGAGCACCCCGGGCCACACATCATCATCAGCAGCATCCGGCTGCGTTTTCTGCCCCTCCAGCTTGGTGGTCCCAGCCTCCGCCTTGGTGGACGGCGTTCGAGGACCGCTATGATCGTGACATGCGAGATATGAGTGCCCAGCTCGTGAGTGTCAACCTCCGTGTGGAGGCTTTTGAGGCTCGCCACGCGCAGTGGGACGAGCGCTTTGGCCGGTGGGATGCCCAGTTCAGTTCCGGTACCGGGCTATCCGATACTCATCCTCCATCGCCTCCTCCCGATCCACAGTGACTTGTCACTGTGTTGGTCAGCTTTTCTTTTCTCTTTTATTTTTATTTTATTTTCTGTCTTTTCTCTTCTTTGTTGAGTCTGTTGATTGTGTGGTACAGCTCCATTCGCTGAAAGTCGACAATGGGGACATTGTCTGCTCTTAAGTGTGGGGGAGCTTTTGCATTTTATGTGGCTATGTGGTTGACCAGGTCTAGTTTTATTTTTAGGTCGTTTTATTTCTTTCTTTTGCATGGTGGACAAGTCTAGTTTTAGGTTTTTATTTGTTTCTGAACTTGGATCATGGTATATTGTAAGACTGGTTGATGACTGTTGGTTGA